CCCCTAAATATCTAATGGTCCGTCCCTTACTAGATATCAATCCCTGTAATCCCTTCTTTACCTTATTCCCGTCCAATTTCATCACTAGTGTCCAGCCTCCCCCTCCACATGTTCCAATGTCAGTCATGTGACAGTATACATCGTAGTATTCGCCTGTACTGATTGACTTTAAGTTATAAACTCCGTTGGTAGAATTTCTAAATTCATAACATGAAGTTTGGAAACTAAGAACAATATTCTTAATAGTTTTGGGAATAGGAGCCATCTTCTTCCTCCGCCCGCATATAATTTAAAGCAATTATCCTTAGCAATTGTTATCTTGATATCTTTCTTATGAAAAGTGAGAAAATGCTCTTGAGTACTTGCGATAATATGTTATGTTGTATATCTTTATTTCTGACATTTATCTCATTGAGTTGCATTGTTCCCTAATGAACCCTATATATTACTATTTTACTATATGTATAACTCCAGATTATTTTACTCTGTCTAACGCCAGACGATTCAGTTTATTCGTCAAGTTGAGGGCGCTGTCGCTCATTGGTTAAATAACTTACTCATATTTGGTGAACACATCTTTGCATGAGTGGAAGAACTCTTTGCATTTTTTGGTTTCTAAAATTAAATAGTAAAATATCATTATTTACCTAATTTTCGTATATTATAAGTTTTTAAGATATTTGCAGTACAAATATGACAACTTTCTTGCAAAATGAATCGTTGATATTTTTAAGTGTGCGATTTACTTTGATAAGATTACTCACCATGCGAGAATTCTTCGTTTTCTTTACAACTCTAGAAATTAAGAGAAATTAAGAACACAAATAATCATTGCAATTTTATAACATACATGATGTTAATATATATATATAACGGTCGGTGCCCTTTTATAGGAAGTTAGTATGGTACGTTTTGAAAATGCCTTAGAGTATGTTTCAAAAATTCCTCCTCCTCCCCCATTATAGAACCTCGATACCATTTGAACACATTTTGCCCATGTTATATTAGCACTTTTTTGCCCATATTGTCATATAATATATTTAGTTTATAACTACTTACACGCATGTCAACTTGAAAGTAAACGTTTTCTGCATCACTTTGTCCTTCTTCTGATAATTCTTCAAGCGTTTTGGAATTGAGTTCACATAAACCTTTATTCCTTCCTTTCACTTTAAGATTTACTGATACACATCCTGGTTCATTGAAACAGCTATTACTGCAGTCGAACTCGTCTTCTGTTTTCAACGATCGTATTATGTAATTTCCCAAATAGCGCCCTGATCTCCTTTTAAATATAATGTCGCTATCACCTCTTGCCACTTGACCAAACATGTTTAACAAAAAAGCCCAAAGGCCAAACCATATTAGCATTGTTTCAAATTAGAAAACAGTTTCAGCTAAATCGAGTTCCTATGATGTTGCAAGCAAGGTTTTGACCGCATGAGTTGTTAATATTTAATTCCTGACGACGGGTATGGGCCGAGCAGCTGAGAGTAATTGAAATGTATGGAATATTTATGTCTGTCTGTCTTGATTTGTAGACAAATATAGAAACATGTACAGTAGTTCTGTGTGTTTTGCACGCGACATTTATATATGTGGAAAAAATTGAATGAACCTAATTGAAATATCCAGCATTTTCCCATGTTGGTTTTAAATGTAAAGCATCACTTACATTTAGTGTTTTTTACTTGTAATTGTTTCTAAAATTACTTTCAAAAAATAGCATATAGTGGCAAGTAAACGTAATAATAACATGCACAGCAGGGATGCAAAAGAAAAAGCTTTATTTGCGTAGTAAATGAGTTTTTTGTAATAAAAGTAGTGCGAGACAATTCGAATATAAACGTGTATATTTTACAAAAATAAAGAAATATATTGGTATCGTGGCTGTAATTTTTACTTAATGTCAAACAAAACGGGCAAAACGCAATTTTATAATTCACTGGAAAGTAAAACGTCAATTTGAATAATACTTTTGTGTTTGCCGAGAACCTGTTAGGCCATTGATTATATGCCTAAAAATTCTGAATTCTGATTGGCTAAGGGCAGTAATTCGTTTTATTACATGCAGTGCTAATTTAATTTTTATTTTGCAAGTGATAATATGTAGAACGTTAGTTTAAATTGTATCTTATAATTTTTAAATATTGTCTTATGAAATTATTGATGAATAAAAACATATCTCTTGTGCAATTTGAAAATTTGAAAAATGCTTGTGATGTTTGCCAGAACTCATCTATCAGTCTTGTACCCTGCAGAACCTGTGTTTGCTACGCCATCACATTACAAACGTGCAGGACGACACGCGCGTGGGAAGAAATAAAAGCTAACCTGTTACTTCGACTAAAATTGTCACACGATGGCGTAGAAAACTAAAACGCCTGGGTACGAGGCTGCTTGTTTGATGTGCAGTGTATATTGTCTTTCAAAAATTCACTTAATTAAATACCAATACATGTACATTGAATGTGGTAGACTATAATAAAAGGATATTGTGGAATCAAAATTGGCGAAATACATTATACATGCCTTCACACGACTATGCACAGATAAAAATGGAACTAATTGTTTTTGCAGTAATGTTGCGAACAATATTATTGAAACCGAGAACATTTTTAGACATTATTTCAAATTGAAACAGGCCTATACAGAGTGTAGCACAACACTGTTAACTTTTTAATGCTCCAAATATGCTTCTATTGCATATGCGCTAAATGCTGGTAAAACCCTTGCTGCATGGCCATCGCGGTGAAGAATTTCTATAACAGTGAAAAAATCTAAAATATCGAAAAATTCTTACATTTTAGATGGCAGTGTTTATTGGTCAAGTTTGCATAATCTAAAGTTATCGTATAAAGCCTCACATTTGGAATCACTCAACGTTTCTGCAGTTAGGAATGTCTATAATCATAAAGGGACAGTACAATACAAAGTAAGTCTGAATTTCAATTGTAGCAAATTTATATATAACAATATATATAAATTAAAGTGAATGAGACAACACATTTGTCATCTTCAAACCTGGTTATAATCTCATAATGACAGGATAGACTTGTCAACAGTCACAAAAGAAGGCGATATCCAATCGTCTCAAGTTCAAATGTTTCTGCGGGCACGTGCAAACCGAATGAAAGACTAACTGACCAATCATATGTCAACAACGAACACGCAGAGCAAATATCAATATGATAAGGGCTTTCACTTTGACAAATATCCAGACAATGAACAATGTCTTGTTACCGAGAAAGAAAATTTTCACTGACACACCCACCCACCCGTTCATGTTCCTTGTGTCAGTGACTGGTCTTGTGCACTATATATGCGTACTAACTAATGTTATGAGACGACTATTCAAAAACAATATTCAAGAAGGACTGTCGAACAATTTTCTCATTGAACATTATAATTGGTTTATGTTGAAACAAATAAATTTTGGTTCGGGGCTGAAGTGTTCCCAATAGTCAATTTTAGGCCCATAGACTCAGGTTATTTAACGTATAAGTATAATCAGTCGAATCGTAGGTATACTGTCCAAGGGGATTATCACCCCTTGGTTCAGGTCTATGTCAGAAGGGGTCGTTACCAGTCTGGCAGGGCCCTATCGGGGATTATATTCCCTCGGGCATTCAGTCTCTCCTAGCGGATCTTATATTATACCCCTGCGGGTTGAAAACAAGAGTCTTTGGGTTGACCAGGGTTTAAGAGTATAATGGATATAATTGGTTCACTTCATCCTGATCCCATTCCCCCACAATAATTTGTGTTTTACTTATTTTCGGGCTGTTCTTTCGCGTATAACGTGCTTGAATCATTAATGGTAATTATGGGGATTTTCATACAGTAATGTCTTTCAGTAGTAAAAAGAGTTCACATCACCAAATAGAGAAGAGGGTTGGGCGAACTCAAGATCAGGGCTGATCTGACTGGAAACCTGATACCAAAGGGTCTGGAATTTTCATCTATTTGAGAATGTATCTTAAAATCACTCGTTTCTGTTAATGATTAGGTAATCGGTAGATCTCATTCTTTCTGGTTCATAGTGAATATCAAAATCGTGTGAACTTTTACCCTTTTGTCTTCTATGTGGAAGAAAGTGATGCCGTTGAAGTCAAACTTCTGACTGACATGCAAAGAACTATATGTTTGAAAAAATCAAAACACAAAATAAATTCAAGAGTAGTTCAGCGGCCCCAACGACTCAACATGCAGAGACAGCATTAGGCTTAATACTACGCCTATTCTAGCGTTGTATATAGTATATCTTGAAATACTCTTTAATAAAACATGAAGCAACCGCGAAAGAATGTTCAGTCAATCAGTTATTTTAATTTTCTCAGCAATTTTCTAACTAGTTTAACTACAGTAGTTGGAGGAAATGATTATCTAGGCGTTGCACTTGTATTTAGTCTATTTAAATGATATTGATTCAATATAGAACATGCAGCTGCGGACTGAGAGAGACAGAACTACCTGAATATACATAAGCATGCAGAACGTCAACGTTTCGAGCGAAGGCCCGTCATTGGGAAGTTATAGCATGCAGCTGTCATGACTTAGGCATGCAGCTGTCATGACTTAGGCACTTATGTACCGACAATATAGAACATTCGCATCTGATCTGCATGTGATTAGTACGGTCCAGTTTGGGCTTGCTTTGTAAATCAGATAGAGATCAGCTGGACATCCCATATTTAGTATATTTATTAATAGTTTATACTCCTGTAAGATATAACAAAATGTTTCTAATGTTATACTCGTTTTTTATCCCCTAGTTCAGTCTAAAAGATAGTGATCTGACAAAGATAAAAACTGCGCCTGGTATTGACCTTCGTCCTGTACAATTTCAGGTCCAGGTAAATTGGAATTTTTTTCAATGCAAGTTGAACAATTATACTATATTGTCTATAATCTTTGTCTTTGTCTTAGTCTGTAGTCTATAGTCTTTGTATACAATGCAAAAAATTTTGACGTAAAACTACTTGAGTAAAATAATGCACCCCCATTTTCTGATTAAAGAAAATCTTTACTCAAAACATTGAATAAATCTGAAACTTTAATAACTTAAAAATTGAGTAAATTTGCTCATCAATTTGAGTAATTTTTTAGTCAAATTGAATAGCCAACATACAATTTTTATATATAGCCATGGCAAGCTGACGAGACTTGCTTTGTCAGAAATACAGGAAAAGGCGTTTTACGGGTAAGAAAATTGGTATTACCGTTTTGTTATCAGTTCTATGTGTGGCGATAACTTTAATTTATCTAACTTGACTGAGATGAGAGATCCCATTCACCTAGCGCAAGGTGAGATCTCACACACAATGATATTAACACACAATGATATTTTGAACAGCCCCTCATACTCATTTCTTCATTTTAGGGCACCCAGTCAATGACAGTCCTTCTGGGTTGTCCACCAAGCATGAAAATCGAATTCGATCCAGAGGCATCCGTAAATACATCAGGAAAGAACCAGTTTTGCAACAAAAAATACGGAATCGCTTGCTTCCTATATGAACATAGTAAGTTCAAATGCTAAAATTGTTTTGAACTTGATGTATCCACCTTTCACGGGTAGCTTGTGAGAGTGATTATAGAGAGTGATTAACGGCCGTTGACAAGCATTTTGAAAAGGATTGTCGACTCCCATTTTGCAAATGGCAGGAAAATTGATTGAAAATAGACAAGAAATCAATGCAAAAATCGAAGAAGGTACTTTTTCCGTGAGATGTCCAGGTTAAACCAAAGTGTATAGCTGTTTGTAAATTATTATTGAGAATTTGTTTCTGTGCAAAAAATATTCTGTAAAATATTCTAAAAACCAAAGCGATAGCGTTTATAAAGCGTTTATGACGATACCTTCACAAGAAAAACAGCGATTGAAAACCCAGGTAAACGTTGCTTTTATATTAAAGTGTCTTACTAGGAAATGTTGATCACTCCTGACAGCATAATTTTACGACATTTTGGGAAGCTAACGATAGCCTATAGACTTTAAATATTTTTTAAATGTAGTTTACACTATAAACTACATTTTTTTGCTATTTTATATAATTATAAACATGGTCTTGGGGAAAGATTTATTTAAAGAGTTGTTTTATAATGCATAATTATTTCATTTTCAAACTTTCGCCAGTGGTGGGTCAATATCAGTGCTTATAATTATTTCAGCATTCCATCCAGTATTCAACATTGTGGATGAATCAACAGGCAGTATGACGAGATTCACGGAGAAATATCACCTCGCAATAATTGGTGGAGGAAAAGATATCTATTCTATTGAAGAATACACTGAGAGTGATGTAGCGCTGTTTAACTACCAAACACACGGGTATATATGCATTAGACGTTAACGCTCAACTCATCAATGAGCAAGACTCTAGTAAAAGTAAAACGGCTGGTGTTAGACAGATTAAATGGTAAAGTAGGGTGCTTTTGGACACATTGCAGCTTAATAGTTAACAAGGCATATTGGTAGATACTTTGGTTAACACGTTGATGCGCTAGACTCTCGATGCCCTTGAAGTGTTAGTCATCTGGCTAGACAGAGTAAAGTAATAAAGCAGAGTTCATTTGGACACATCGCAGATCAATGGGTTAAACTGCTATCAAAATTAGTATTAAAGAATTTGTTCTTGTTTTCATCAGAAAATATAAGGTCTGCATATAATACTCTGCAGTACATAACGACGCAACCAATTACGATTTCACTCTCAAACTAGAAAGAGTATAGAAAGCACTAGGAGACTGCATACCTCCGCCAGCGAATTAAGTTATGCATCAATGCATAAATTTTACAACGAGCTAATTATACGAATTCAGTTTACTCTACCAGGCAAGGCAAGGCAATACAAGCTTTTGCTAATTTCAAAATTCTCATCCAATTTCCATCCAAATGTAACCAAAATGTAATCAATATGTCCTACGCCTTGGACATGCAATGTCCATTAGTTCCACAAATTTTCATGTTAACAGACACACGATTACGCACAGACACACTTTCAAAGCGGAGGAAAACATTACCACCTGGTAGAGGTAGCCTAATAGTAATTTTAGTAATTTTTATTTATACACGAAATTCATTTGCTTCTCAGATCTACTTCAACCCTTATATGGACTCCAAAAGCGAAGAATTTGGGCTCAATTCCTTCTTTTAATATATCTAATAATGGACTCCAGTAAGTAAAGCCTAATCGTAATTAAACCATGCATAGCCAGGCACTTTGATATAGTATACAACCCACATACCCGTATATCTAATAATGTATGAAGAAAGTACAAAACAAATTAATGCTAGCTTAACCGATGTCTGTAAATTCGATATTTTTGGATTAAAGCCACTGTTACACGATACCGGATCGCTTTGTCAAGACATCGAATTTAACGATTTCAGAAATTACTTAACACTTAAAATTGCCAAAAATAATAATGACAAACTAAAACGAAAACTGGAAAATTTTGTGTGCAGTTCTGAACGGCATATGACACAGGCAATATATATAGACCCGCAACTACATGGAAACTAGGCTCCCTCTTGAATTATATTTCCTTTTCAGATGGTTATGTGGTAGGAAAAGTCCATGTTCAGAGATATCACCCGTGTTTCCACATTCACCTGAATTTTACTTCAAACTAGAGTTTTCTACCAGGTACTTAGTTCTTGCTTACTACAAGGTAAAAACCTCACAACTTATCAACAGGATGTGTTCGCAACAGGCTTGTGGCAAACTTCTTGACAAGTTGTCATTTTATCAAGTTGACTCATGCAGAACTTGTTAACAAGTTGTAGAATTGCAATTGAGTAAACTGCATTGTAGCAAGTTGTCGACAAGTCGTTCATATCTGGTCAACAACCTGGAAAAAAACAGTGCCGGTGCGAACCGATCCTGATGACAAGTTGTAGAAACAGCATTTGTACAAGTCTGCTACATGCAGGTGCGTGCCAAATTGTGCGTTCTTATATGTGTACTTAAGAGTTGTGAGGTTATAGGTTGTTCTCATCACTTGTTATAACTCCATATCTTCTAAAAATATTTCAGGGACACGGAGGATGACAATTTGAATTGCGACTTGACGGCTCAATTTATAATACGAATTCACGGACTTCCTTTGGGTTCCCTGTATCCTGCTACTGTCATTGTAGCGGTAGGTCATGCCTACTTGTCTTACGCTGTGTCTGTTTGTTTTTCTGTCTGTCTGTTTAATGGCTGTCACTGGGAAAAAATAGTGAAAAAATGGAATTTGCGATTGAATCACTAAATCTATAGTATATCCATACTATTTCCATACTATATCCAAAGTATGGAAATTGCAATTAGTATGAAAATTGGATTTCCATACTATTTTCAACTAAGATGGTAAGTATTTTGAAAAAAAGATTTCAGTGTGTCTCTATATTTATCTTGTATTTCAAATAATTTAAAGATCTCTCGTACAACAATTGCCGACAAATTATCTTGGACCGCACTACAATCACGTGCAAAAATTATTGAGACAACAGCACAATTTCCCCCTTCCCGAGGATCAGCTAAAAAAATTTCAACATTGTTTACGGGGGGAGGGGAGTAAGAACCTAAAAAAGTTGATAAAAGTTTTTAAAGTCTCGTTACTTTTGCACTTGATCGTAGGATCTCACCAAAACCATTTCTAATGACACCACTTTTGTACTTCTGATGTTATCATAAATTGTAATGACGCTAACCAGAGCGATATGGATTAATTTGTCCTGGATCTTTTTCAGATATCAGACACAAACCACAGCAACTTATTTTATTTTATGACTTATTTTTCAGACATGCATGGCGTTCATTACGGCCTATGTGTTCACGATGTATGCGTTTAAACGAAACAATCACAAATTATGGAACTTAACACGTGATTTTGTCCATACTAAAAAGATGATGGGTGAAATTTGGATACGTCAAAAAATAGGAAGAGCAAAAGTTGAGCCTGCAATCGAAACATCTGTTGAGGACTGCGGTAAGTTTATCGAAAGTATATGGGATATAGATTCATGTCTCGCTGTTTCTGAATTATAGGATTAGCGTCAGCATATTCATAAACAGGGAGGCCGGCATGCATGAATGTTTAACCATGCACAGTATGCAGTTGAATGCAGCTGCACAGGATTTAATTCACAAGGATTGTCGCGGACACAAGGGAGAACCAGGAGCCAACCGCCTCACCACCCATTAAGTTCTAGTGAAACCCTTTCAATTATATCTGAATAACTGTGTAACAGAGCTATAACATTTCTTCAACCATGAAACCATTGGTATAGGCTATATGTACTACTTCAAATTTAAGACAAAAACTTTAAAGAAATATGATTTCAAGCTACAAAAGGCAGTCATATGTTGGTAACCTAATGCATCCCCAGTATTTTGCAAAGTGTCCACAACTGGACAAGGATATACTATTCGGCAAGGAAATCAGTCGGGAAAAGACACGGCATGCATACATTGGGACATTTTGTGTAATTACATGTTTAAAGTGCCGATCGATAACACCAAGTGTTTCCCTTGGAATGTATATTTGGCATGGGGTCTAAAAGGAACCTCTAAAATAGATTGTTATAGACATTTTATTTATTCCTCTTTCAAAGATACTGATGGTAGAAAAGGAGTGTTGTAAGATAAACAATGAAAAGTTTTCTCTTCATCGTAAGTTCAGAAAGTCACGTATTTATGTTATATACTGTTGAATATTTTCGTATTCAACTTGTTACAATGTTGACCTTATCATAATATTTAATTTATTATCAACTTTACACGGTAGATACTATAAATTCCACTTTTTTGAATAAAAATGTTCGAAACGTTTCCTACAGGTTCGAACATTGTATTGGTATAAGTTCTTGGATTTCTAAGTGATTTAAATTAACAATCTATTTTTTTTTTCATTTTTGAGATATTCACTTTGTTTCATATCTAAGTTAGATAATTCGTCATTGGCAGAGTAATAATTGCCGATATTAATCATATAGACGATCTCTCTATTTCATATGCTCATCATTACACCTTTATTCTACAAATTGTCTGAATATTTTGATTTTGCGAAGTTTTCATGATGTTAATGCCTCAATTCGGTTAGTTAATATTTAAGAGAGCTATATATGAGACAGTAAAGCACACACAATGTTGTGGGAGAAGGGTTGTTGGGGAGAAATGCTCCGAATATATACTTTCAACTGGTCAAAGTGTCACCCCACAGACTCACAGTTACTCTAATTAATGCCCTCGGGGGTCTGGGTCCCCATATTGGGCTGTCCTCAGGGGGTCTGGGTCCCCATGTTGGACTCTAGTGTAATTAATGCCCTCAGGGGGTTTTGGTCCCCATGTTGGGCAATCCTCAGGGGGTTTGGGTCCCCATGTTGGACTCTAGTGTAATTACTGCCCTCAGGGGGTTTGGGTCCCCATGTTGGGCGGTCCTCAGGGGGTTTGGGTCCCCATGTTGGACTCTAATGCAATTGATGCCCTCAGGGGGTCTGGGTCCCCATGTTGGGCATGATATACTTCAATCTAACATTTTTAATGTATGGTACATCGATTTGTGAGTCTATGGGATGAGGGTGACCTATGGGAGCACTCCATCCCCAAAACCAAAATTTTTTATTTTCAAAGACCTTCCACATATTTTACAAGTAGTAACTATTCTACTGTTCAGTAAACGCTGCGAGCATTGCAGTCCATGCTAGTCTGTCTTGATAATGACCCATGCAATATAACAACAGGCTATAATACAGTTTTTTTTTTTCTTTTGTTTTTTTTTTTTTTTGGTTTTTTTCCTACTAAGCTATGATAAAGTGGTGCAACATCATTGACGGGTGGGGTGGGTGGAATTTAAGCAATTTTTTCGCTGTGAAGTGTCCTTCACTTTGGCTCACCGGCAACACAATGAAGCCTGTAGCCCAGGCAGGAAGCATAAGCAAACAAAACAGTTGGACCTGATTGGTCTATTTTTCCACATGCATGGGAAGAAGTGTTTGACAGTGGTTCATTGTTATTTACCGAGTGCTTTGCACGTGAGTGATCACGCGTTTTAAGACTGACCTTTGTGCCTAACCTGGTCAAATCAAAGGACTTTGCACAACTTTGGTTATATCCGAACGCTTGTTTCATTAACTTAAGTTTATAATGCCTATGGGCACGTATAAACTTGCTTTAATGCCTCAATTCGGTTAGTTAATATTTAAGAGAGCTATATATGAGACAGTAAAGCACACACAATGTTGTGGGAGAAGGGTTGTTGGGGAGAAATGCTCCGAATATATACTTTCAACTGGTCAAAGTGTCGCCCCACAGACTCACAGTTACTCTAATTAATGCCCTCGGGGGTCTGGGTCCCCATATTGGGCTGTCCTCAGGGGGTCTGGGTCCCCATGTTGGACTCTAGTGTAATTAATGCCCTCAGGGGGTTTTGGTCCCCATGTTGGGCAATCCTCAGGGGGTTTGGGTCCCCATGTTGGACTCTAGTGTAATTACTGCCCTCAGGGGGTTTGGGTCCCCATGTTGGGCGGTCCTCAGGGGGTTTGGGTCCCCATGTTGGACTCTAATGCAATTAATGCCCTCAGGGGGTCTGGGTCCCCATGTTGGGCATGATATACTTCAATCTAACATTTTTAATGTATGGTACATCGATTTGTGAGTCTATGGGATGAGGGTGACCTATGGGAGCACTCCATCCCCACAAATGAGCAGCATGCACATTCCCCATAGACGAACTCCCTCCCCCTGAAATTTTTTGAGATAAATTTTAAATATTGGCGAGTGTGGCTGAGACATTCAACAGTGTTGACGAAGGAAGTTGTATATATCGTTCATAACAGTCTGAGGACCACCGACCCAAAGTTTTTATGAGCCAGGAAGGTAATTTCGCTGTGGCTGCCGTAGTTGCAGCACCGATTCTGTAGCTATGACCGGCAAAGTTTGAAGCGTTGAATCCGGCTTGACTGAGTAATTTTCTTGTTTCAAGTGTTAGGGCCTGTTTTGTAAGTGGTTTACCCGCAGAATTTACAAACAGAGGCCCTGCTTTTGGCTGCCTTCTGGCTAAATACTGTTTCATGGCCAATACTGGGCAGAGAGGTGTGTGTGTTCCTCCAATACTTATGGTATGTCCCACCCGAAAGGGGTCAGTTTTGGATTCTTTTATCCGTATGGACATAGCAGTGGTTGGTTGTAGGTCGTTGGAAAAAACAACGTCTTCAGGCATGAGGTGCGAATCTGAATTGAATTTTGAGTTACAAGTTAACTCTCCAAGCCGCAGAAAGCCAAAAAATGCCAATGTTATGGCAGCCCAAACCATAATTGAGTCGAAATGTGTTGTGACAGGTATTGCCAGCATCATGTGAAAAAGTTTTAAATGATGGATTGTTATTGGAAGGCGCACTCTTTTCTCATCGCCTTGGGAACGTTTTATACCCCGAAGAACCAGCTGGAGACGTGACATCTTTTGACAATCCAACGGAAAACCATTTCGTATGTGAAAATGACGAACCGCTGCAAGATAGTTTTTTATAGATGTGTGTTTGATGGTTTTGGCTAAATAGGCTGAAAATTGCACGAGTGTTTCTTCACTTGCTGGTAGAAAGTGCTTTCCTTCATGGGGTCGATATAATTTTACAAAAGCAATAAACCGTTTCTCACCAGCGCTGTATGTCTGTTTGGTTGAGGCGGCCACAGACAAATCAATGTAATATTCTATGTCATTCTTTAGATTTTCAACAGAAGGACTGGAATTTTTTGAGGGTTGACATCTGCTTGAGGCATTAGGAGTCGAAACCTTTGAAACTGGAAACGAGAAAGGGAATCAGCAATCTCATTATACTTTCCCGGTATGTGTTTGGCCCGAAGGTATATATTGTACTTTAAGGTCAACAGTGTGAGATGACGGAGAAGATCCATTACCCGGGAAATTCGCGATCGTTTGGAATTAATAATGTTGACAACTGATTCATTATCACAGTTCAGGATTATCCTTCTGTTTTGAAGGGCTTCCCCCCATATGTGACATGCAACTACTATGGCAAACAATTCTTGCCAAGCAATACTAATCTCGGGCTGTCCTAATTGTTGATGAGGTTCCCATTTTCCTTGAAACCATTTCCCCCCGAAAATCCCCCGTAGCCCAACACCCCCGATGCATCAGTGTGGAGCTGAAGGCATTCAGAGTTTTCCCATGAAGAAGACAAGAAAAAACTGGCACCATTCCAGTTAACGATAAACTGTTTCCACATCTCGAGATCCTTAAAAAAGCCTGCACTAAGCTTTATGTGATGG